CTTTAGAGCTGCAAGATTAAAATATGGTCTAAAGGAAAGGCATTAAACTATACTCAGTAGCGTCACTTAGTGTATTTGATTGTAATCTTGGGTCCTTGAAAATCTGTGGATCACGGTCAGCATCCCAGCTACCAGGGACAAGTGCAAAGCCTTTTTCATTGGATCAATTCTAGTTCTTTAAAAGCTCCCAACGTGCCCTGGGACGTAGGAATTTGCATCCCCATTCTAAAACACGAGGGAACTGAAGCCCAGGAAAGCATCTGGTAACGAGTGATGTTCAAACACGTGACTCCTAAGCTCTTCTTTAAACCTCCCAGTAGAAAACTTCATGTTAGTATAAACCAACTGTTCTCAATGTTGGTAGGGGGGGTTGTGTATCCCCCCTGCCCTCTCCCCGTGGACATTTGGAAACCCATTGGATGACAGTTTTTGGCTGTCACACCTGGGGGAGGAGTGCTGCTGCACCCAGCAGGTAGAGACCAGGGATGATACTAAACAGCCCACAATGCACCGGACGCTCCCCCACAACAAAGAGTTGCCTGGCCCAACGTGTTAAAAGTGCCGAGACTGAGAAACTAGAGGGTAAACCATATTCCTCAAAAAGTCTCACAGACCTATTACCAACCCCATCCTGTTTTTTGTTTTGTTTTCTGAAATCAATGTGTAGGATCAATGAAAATAGCTTTGAACCAGAAACAGATGTGTTTCATACATACACATGCATGTACATTTTTAATGCAGCTGAGATGTGCTTTTAGTTTATACTGTAAAATACTGTGATCACAGAACTTTGGGTGGGGAAACATACATGTATGTTTCACGCTTCCATTGATGTGTGATTGTCCTGATCTTTATTCTGTTTTAATAAAAGATGCAAAGGGTGTGGGGAAAGAAACCTTGACTCACAAAGCAGGAAGAAACATATTGAAGTTTTATAAAATACTTTTTTTTTTTTTTTTTTTTAAGCACAATGAAGTCACACCATGAGGCAGAAAACTCCTTTCTTAATTTTATTTGAAAAGTACACAAGGTCACAATGCTAGAGCAAGTTATTGCTTTTTTTTTTTTTTAACCAAATTTGTTCTTACAAAGTTCAAAATCTGCACCATTGGATATTTAAGCCAGAAACATTAAATACAAAATTCATCTTTGAAACGGACACTATCAATTCTCTACTTGCATATGTGAAGTGTCAAAATATTTTTTCTCAGTAGTACAAGTTTATTTATAACAAATGTTCACAGTAGGAGAGGAGAATAAGTGCATCAGTGAATTGTGGTTTGCTTGACACTTGTGTCATTAAATATGTCAGTGCAAAAATGCAGAGTTCTTCCTTGATCAGAGCTTTTAGTGTTCATGACCAAAACCAATCCCAGCAGGTACTTTCCACACTCGAATCACAAAACAGTGCACTTTGTAAAACTTGATTAACAGTAAGAAGCCAGATACAGAAAATATTTGCTGGTGTTCCTATCCGTAAGATAAGGTATTTGCTGGTGTTACTATCCATAAGATAAGCAGAACTGCAATTCACAGATTTATTATTCCTCCCTGCTTCCATAACATGAATAAGTAGAATCTGTGCTCGGTTATGAACCACATTTTAGTGTCAAAATAGGCAAACAAGTAAAAAAAAAAAAAAAAATCCAACTGCAGAACATGTTGCCTTTATTGCAAGACTATCCAAATGCATTTGAAATATTAAAACTTGCCCAGAACATTTATACTACTAAACACAGAATATCACAAAGATTTATGTACATATATATATATATAATATATAATGTCACAAGCCACTAAGAAGTTAAAATGGTGTCAACATTTTCTACAAACTACTCCTTGCATGACACATCAAAGCATTGAGCACATAATATGGACCTTCTCTATTCACACTGGAATAAGGGATCTGAAAGTCCTAAACACTGTGGAGGTGAAGAGATTAGGAAAAACCTGAAACATTTACATAACTTCAAATCTACATGCTGCACGCACACGGACAGAGAATGGTTATTTTAAAAAGCCATCCGTTATAGAATTTGATGTCTAACTTCATGCAACGAGTTCTTTTTATATTTAATAAAAATGTTTATTTGCCCCTTTACTTGCTCCTTATTTATGAAACACAATCTTGGAAATTATCTTTTTAATCAAAATCAGATATTAATTCATACCAATAATCTAATTGTGTTTCTTGAATCAACCTCCCGCTATGACACACTCTGGCTGTATTTCCATTGTAAGATTTATTTTATTTTGTTTTTTTGGCCTTCAAACAGGGAATATTAGAATAAAAGAAACCCATAAAGCACAGAACTACATCCTCTAAGGTACCACTACTTCTCAAGTTATTCTGTGTAACTTAACTGGTGTTGAGTCTCTTAGGTGTAAAGTGGAAACGGTTTCTATTGCCTCGAAGATGCAGTGCTGTCCTTGACTTACATAAGCTCCAATGGAAATGCTCAAATAGCAAGTTTTGTCGAATTGCCTGATGATTACAATAATTCCAGAGCAAATACATGATCTCTGGTTTAAATGAAATCATCAGTGAGAATCCCTTAATGGGTCAATCAGAACTATCTGACTTTTAGGTTAACTGAAATTTACAATGAGAGTAGCTGAAGACAGAGTCCAAAATGAATTCTGTCCTCTAAATTTCATCACGCCCAGTAGGTCTGTACAGGATACACAACGGATTTTTTGTGAGCTCATTTCTTAGGGTGCAGGTGCTTCTGGAAGAGATTCTGATTTATTTGTCGCCAAATCCTAGACCAACTACGAAGTCTAAGGCAAGGACAGCCTTACAAGGATCCATTTTTTTTTTTTTTTGTAGTAATTTCTACTTAGATAGATAGCATAATCTTCAGTGCATGAAAAACTAGTAAAGACCAAAAGCTGTTTCTCAGAGTTTGTGCTGGTATTTCTGAGTACTACTGTATATAAATGTATTCATATAAAACAGACCGGACATCTGGAGTTCAAAAATAGCTACTATTATAAAATCAGAAACACAGCCAACGAGTGTGGGGGATGTTGAAATTTCAGGCTGTTAATTTGCATACAAAAAGAACACAAAGAGGAGGCAAGATTGAAGTCTGAGGATAGAAAGGTGTCACAGTGATGCGTTTTTAGGAACAGTACCTTCACCTCTAAGCACCTTTCAGGTGATAGCTAGCTCATAGGCACCAGAAATCCATAATAAAAATTAAATTACCCAAAAGGCACAAATGAAAACTGTTAACACAAGTACAAATGCAATATTGTGAAAGGTTAAAACCCTATTTAAAAAAGGCTTCCAAATATGGAAAACTATACACTAATCTATTACACAGACATTCCGCTTAAATTTACCATTAAAAAGTGTACACGATACTCTTACTAATCAGCAAGTCATGCCAACATTAATTTCTAATGCAGCATGAACCACCACAGCACCCAAAGAGATGAACAGAAGAAACCAACTCCCTACAAAACCGAGGGAACAGGTTTAGAGCTAGTGAAATAAGTTATTGCAGACCTTACTTACTATAAAGAAACCGCTGGCTCATTCTACTATAGCCACACTCCCTCACGATCTTAAGGGAAATACAATAAATTTACTTTCTTCTTCTAAAACAGTACTTAACACATTTGGCAGTTGGGAGTATTCCGTTTACCCCCTTTCCTTTCTTTCTATTTTTTTTTTTTTAAAGAATAAATCACTTTCACAAAACTAGGACTCAAAGTTTTCAAAACTCAGCTGGGTTTTCTGCAACCGCACAGACAACATTGGCAGTAGAATAGCAACTGTGCATCCGCCCAAGTCTGGAAGACAAAACCGTGGAGGTCACCGACTAGCTTACAATGCGCTCCGTCATTCTGAGCCTATGAAGAAACATCCTCCAAGGACTGCATTCAGGAAGGTAGACTTAGGATGACATGTTTCCAGAACATATAACATGCAACACCCATCCAAAAAAACGACAACAACAAAACGCTGAACCCTGGGGGGGGGAGGGGACTTTTTAAAATTTGGAACCAATAATTAGGGACTTTCAATCTGTATCTGTCAAATAATAAATGTCATAATTGTTTCTTATTAGAAAAATATCACCTAACGCAGAGAGCCAGTGTGTGGTTGGGAACTGCAGGATTCTCCTTCCTTGCTCTGGTGGGTCACCCTTCTGGAGATCACCCCAGATTGCTGTTCGCTGAAATCCACTCTCACCACTGTACCTAGTATCATCGCTCTATGCAGTGAGAGCAAACTTGCTAAATAAATCCACATAAAAGAGCTTACTATGCCTCACAGTCTATCAATCAAATACTGAAGCAATCATTCCATAGACAAGGCTAATGCATGACCTGAAAGTAAAACTAGTAATTTCTAGAACCCTGTAGAATGTTTTTAGTTACTAGAGCTATAGCAAACACATTTATGTTACTAGAGCTATTCCAAACACAGTTTTCAAAGAACAAACATAAAGGACTATAATAATTGTTGCCAAGAATGCTTCTTTGCCAATTTTGGGTCATAAATTAATTGAGAAAGGCATCCTAAAAATAATGGCAGGAACGAAAAAAAAAAATACTACTTTTTAAGATGATTCAAGTATCAGCTTGGTGTGCATGAAAGTTCACCAATATCTTCTCCTATGATTTCATATCCAAAGTGCTACATATTACTAAGTATTGGTTGTTAGAAACTTACAAAATCAACTTCTGTAAGAAATCTTTTTCAGATGGCAAATTTGTCTTTAGTAACTTTAATGCCTTTACTATTCCGATATAAACAAACACAACTTTTCAAAGTATGTTTCTTACAGTTTTTGGTTCACTTTTTGATCTATTGAGGCTGGTAGCAAAATTTAGAACAAAATAGGTTTTCCTATTTCAAAAGAAGGAGAGAAGCGTGGAGCACGGAGGTGAGAGGTTTGGAGGCCCTATACTATAGACCCGTCCTTGCTCTGGGCTGGAATCATCACGGGTACCGCTCCCATCCTACTGAGATTAGGGGCAGCTACCTTGGCGGGTGGGAGAGTTGGACTCTGAGGAGCGCGTTCAAAATCTTCGCTTGGTACTTGGTTATACTGAGTCTTAGAATAGCCCTCCATGTTGGAAGGAGACATGGATCCCAGAGATGAGTGATTGCTGCCGATGTAGCTTCTGGCAGTGGATGTCCGGCTCTTGGGAGGAGGCACATCTTCCCTGGAGAGCAAAGATCCCAATATAATTAAAAGATTGTTCCTTGTAAGACATAAAATTGTAAATTTTTGTAAACACTGCCTTTTACTATATGAGAAGATCTATATTCTGTAAATGACAACTAATAAACAAATAACACAGTTTGTGACATTATACTGTACTAGAGACCTGGTGCACAAATTCGTGCACAGTTGGGGTCCCTAGGCCCACCCATGAGTCATAGGCTACACAATTGTAGGTTACTAGAAATTGTAACGTCTTCCCTGGAAAGCAAAGATCCAATTGTGTAGCCTATGACTCATGGGTGGGGGCTATTTAAGCACTAAGTATATAAAAGTGTGTGTGACATACAAAAAGCAGGCACAATCTATATATATAATATATATATAGATTGTGCCTGCTTTTTTAGGCATATATATATGCCTAAGCAACTGTTTTGACTGGTCGCTATGACGACGCACTGACCACCAGGGGGCAGACGCTCAACTGGTGGTCAGTTAGCTCCCACAGCCAACTTCTTGTGGCCGGCCAACCTCACGTGGTCCCTTCCTTTGGATGGCCCCAATTGGCCCCGATCACTGGCCAGGCCGAGGGACCCCAACTGTGCACAAGTTTGTGCACCAGGTCTCTAGTACTGTAAAATGTCACAAACTGTATATTTGTTTATTAGTTATCATTTACAGAATATAGATCTTCTTATATAGTAAAAGGCAGTGTTTACAAAAATTTACGATTTTATGTCTTACAAGGAACAAACCTCAAATATGTTCATATTCCAGTACATCTAATCAAGATAATCTCGTTACAGTCATGTAATACTTTATCCTATATAATAAAAGGCTAATATGAAAACTGTCCCCTTGACCAGTTCAACTGGGAGTTCGACCAAAGGGTGGAACCGGCTGGCCAACCACTTGTAACCCCTCTCCCCAGCCATCTCCCTCTCTGATCCTTCTCCCCACCAATCGGGGGCAGGGCTGGCTGGCCAACCGCCCATGTCCCCTCTCCCTGGCCGGCCTGACCCAATTGCCTCAACTGGAGCGGGCCAGCAGGACCCCACCCATGCATGAATTCGTGCACTGGGCCTCTAGTAGTTACTAAAGCTCTAACACCTACGGGTATATTTCTACCAAAAAAGAAAAAAAAAAAAAATCCTTTTTGCTATTAAAGTTACTGATCTAAGACCTTAGCTGAAAACAGCAGATTCCAGTCTACAAAACAAAAAACAGGAATTCAGGCAAAATTTTCACACCAAGGACTAATGAGTTACATCTAGTGCATTTTAAAAATGCAAGTGCCAGACCTTACCTCATACCTACCAAATGTCAATTTCCTGGGTGTTATTTAGTCACATGTTATTATTTCTTCAAGTTTAATAATCGAACATAGACTTCCAGTTAAGATCTCCTGGCTTAGAATATTTTGTTAAAAACCATATTACCAATAGTTCTTGTCACTTGATATAATTAGGTCTTTTCTCTTCTTTTTGGGACTATGCCATACCTGTACCTGATTTGGAGAGGGCGAACGGTTTTGAGATAAACTAATTTGTAGTGGTTCTTAAAATAGGATCCAGAACTGGAGAGGGCCCAGGGCACGGCCTAATGGAGATTGATTGAATCTACACACTTGCCAGGGAAAGTAAGAGCTTTCCAATATGTTGAAGGGAAGAGCTTTAGCTTTTATCCAGTTCTCACCAGGGCAAGTGTTTCGGAGGGTTAAGAGAAGTAATGCTTTAGGCATAATAAATTCAGTACACTACACGTCAATCAACTCTGGTGTCACCGAATTACCTGATATCATGATGAACTTCCTTTTCATATTTTTCCTCTCTGCGCTTTTTGTGGCAGCAAAAGATGATCACGCAGATGAGCATGAGAGCAAGCAGAGTTCCTATGATGGCTCCGGCAATTGTCCCAGCTCTGTTTGATGCTAGGATAAGAAGTTCATAGGAAGTAATGGTAAACAACACCACTCTATCTAGTCGTATTGAAGATAAGGATACACGCTGACAAATGGATTTCCCTGTATACAATAACTATGAAACTAATTAGCTTTTTGGTCCAAGGGGAAAATTCATTAAAAGAACTGTCTTTTGAACTGTATAATCTATTTTATTTTATGTATTAATTTTATACATATACTATATAATAAAAGGTAATATGCAAACTGACCCTAAACGAGGAACAACTGATTGCTATGACACTCACTGACCACCAGGGGGCAGATGCTCAACACAGGGGCTGCCCCTTGGTAGTCAGTACGCTTCCACATGGGGAGTGCTGCTCAGCCAGAAGCCGGCTCATGGCTGGCCAGCACAGTGGCGGTAGTGGGAGCCTCTTCTGCCTCTGCAGCAGCACTAAGGATGTCTGACTAACAACCAGACTCAGCCAGCAGGTGGGCATCCTGAAAGGGGTCCCAGACTGAGAGGGTGCAGGCCGGGCTGAGGGACCCCTCTGAGTGCACTAATTTTTGTGCACCAGGCCTCTAGTATGTATATATATTTATTGGTTTCAGAGAGGACAGGAGAGGGAGAGAGAGAAACATCAATGATGATCGACTGCCTCTGGCACACCCCACACTGGGGATCAAGCCCATAACTCGGGCAAGTGCCCTGACCAGGAATCAAAACTGTGACCTCCTGGTTCAGAGGTCAATGCTCAACCACTGAACCACGCCGGCTGGACTGTATAATATATATTAAGCATAAACGTGATCAAGCCAGATTAAAAGATTTTAATGTTCCCAGCTTTCTGAGTTGGCACATAAGAATGTTCCGAATAGCTTACCCTTACAATGGCTAAATATGGTGTAAGGGTTGACTTGACGACTCTCATGTTCTTCATGTTGCTACGATAACGAAGGTTTTTCTAATAAAATGTAGGGTTTTGTTTTTTTTCCTTTCTGCTACTAACCAAGCCAGAGTGCTCTGCTCAGATTGCACCCACTTGCCCTGGATTCGCCCTTGCTGACTGAATGGGGGAGGGGCTGCTGAGTAAAGACAAGGGAGCGAACGTTACCATCCCCGACGGAAGGCACTTACGAGGCACGACATCCAGGCGCAGCACGCACTGGTCAGAGCCCACTCGGTTGCTGACTGTGCACTTGTACGTCCCGGAGTAGTCAGTGGTGGCGTTTTTGACAGTGATCACAGAGGACGTCATTTCTATGAGGAGAGAGACGGGGCAGAGGGAAACCCCTTGTTACAGGATTGCTGAGGTTTCAGTAAAGGCGAACTCCGGCAGGCTTGACAGTCCAGGCAAAAGCGGGAGAGGCTGAAGCTGGGTGTGGAACCGGCGCCAGGCAGACAAGGCCCAAGCCGGTCTCCAGAAGGCAAACCACTGCGGCTCCCGTTCATCTGTGCAGCATGGTTTGCAAAAACCCATTCCATCCACCTCGCCCTTCCCCCAGATGGAAGAAACAGACAAAAGGAAGTCAGAAGGGGGCCATACAGTTTACCTCTTAATTGGAAAAAAGAAACAGAGGCTCAGAGAAATCCTACTTGGAAGGTGGAGACCAGTTTGAGTAACAGGTCAGTTCTAACAAAGTGAGCAACTGGGTTAACCAGTTTGCAACTTTCTCGTCAGTGCCTCAGAGGTGCTTTTGATCTGTTGGAGGGCAGGTGTCGGGGGGGGGACCAGGCCAGCAGGGGAGGACAGTTAGGGGTGACCAGGCCGACAAGGGAGGGCAGTGTGACAGACACACCATGGGTAAAGTGCAGAATCTTCAACACTAACGTAGGCTCAGGAAACTTTCAAGAACCAACTCTGTATAACTCAGTCATTCATTTAAGATCATGAACGTTTCCTGATAGTATTATCATCAATTAAAAAAACATACCAAAGAAACCAATTATAAATCTCAAACTGTGAAACTCTTATAGAAGTATATCTATTTATACTACATGACAGTAAGTTGTCTTCCTAAAACACTAAGTCACATGGAATCCTGATTGTTCTGTATAGAAAAGGGAGGGTGTCTGGGGATATAAAACACACACACACACACACACGAGCTAAGTCCACATCTGTGGCACACGGTACAAACCGTCTCACCTGATATCAGCGCCGTGGGCAGTTTCTGTGAGTTGGTCATTTTCTGCCATTCATAATTCAATGGAAGCGAACCTTCCTTCGGTTCACATTTCAGTTTAAAGTCATTCCCAATTTCTTCTGACCCATCCACGTAACATCTTGTACCCGAAGGCTTAACTGCGAAGAGAAAATAAATTATAACTTTATTCAGAAACACAGACTTTTTGCTTACAGGGATTCTTAAACACCGAGCATGCTGCACAACCACTGACGATGGTCACAAGGCTCTGGCTCAGAGCTGACAAGACTGAATAACTATTATACAATCTGTTCTGCAACATGAAACAGGCAAGCCCTAGCTGGTTTGGCTCAGTGGACAGAGTGTTGACCTGCGGACTGAAGGGCCCCAGGTTCGATTCTGGTCAAGGGCACATGCCTGGGTTATGGGCTTGAGCCCCAGTAGGGGGCGTGCAGGAGACAGCTGAACAATGATTCTCTCTCATCATTAATGTCCCCCTCTCTTTATCCCTCTCCCTACTTCTCTAAACTCAATAAAAAAATATTAAAACACACACACACACACACACACACACACACACACACACACACACACACACAGGCACGCTGGGCTCAGGCAGCCCCTCAGGCCTGGCTCTGTGTCCCTTATTTTATGGGATACACCTGGAAAAAGCAAACACCCGCGGGCGGCATCTCTCCAGACTCAAGCAAGCATCCTCCTCCATTCCTAATCTCCTCCTCACCCAACGCCGGGCAAGGGAGTACGTGTCACGTCACATCCTTCCGGCGCCATTACGTGCCAATCGGGGGATTATAATAAAACATGCTGGCAACAGGGTCACTTCACTTGGTACATTACATTAACCCCAAACCACCCAGGGAGCACTGTTATAGATAAAAAGGTAAACCTGAGGCTATACTATAGTCCAGGTCTCCCCAGGTAACTGTTAGAGAAGCTGTGAACCCCATTTCCTGAAATTCACCCCAACACCGAATTAACACCTTGGTGTTTCATATTCTCTTGGTGAACTTTACTGAAGCATAATACATAATAAAAGTAACACATTTTAATAGTGTGAGTTGATCATGTTCAATACAAACACACACACACTCATACCTTCTCTTCCCCCCCCCCCACCACACACACACACACACACACACACACACACACACACGCATGCCCCCTGTTAAGCGCCACCCCAATCCGCTCCCAAGCCAGTTCCCTTGTGCCTGGTGCAGTCATCTCACTTTCAACCCTGGCCCCAGGCGCCACGGGTCAGACTCCATCAGTACAGGTTAGTTCTGCTGCTTCTAGGGTCAGGTGAATGGAATAATACAGTACATGCTTCAGTCTAGCTTCTTTATTCACTGTAAGGCTTCTGACAGTGATCCATGTTTTTATTTATTTTATTTTATTTTATTTTTTAAAATATTTTTTATTGATTTTGTACAGAGAGGAAGGGAGAGAGTTAGAAACATCGATGAGAGAGAGTCATTGATCAGCTGCCTCTTGCACACCCCCTACTGGGGATATGCCTGCAACCAAGGTACATGCCCTTGACCGGAATCGAACCTGGGACCCTTCAGTCCCCAAGCCGACGCTCTATCCCTTGAGCCAAACCGGTCTCGCCTGTGATCCATGTTTTTAAAACCCATTCTTTCTCACTGCTGAGTCGTATTCCACGGACTGTAACAAACGCAGTGACCCACTCCTCTGTCGGTGAACGTGGACTCCAGTGTTTGGGCTCCCGTGAAAGCCGAACTCCCTGAGCTCACCAGGAGCTGGGTTTCAAAGGTCACAGTCAGACTAGCTGGCCAGTGAGGAAGGCCCTGGTAGGTGCTGTGGGAGGTCACTGGATGAGGAAGGGTTCTGAAGGATTCCAGGGGAGTCTCCAAGAAGAGAGATCGGTTCTGAAACCAATGCCTTTTCTTTTTAAAAAATATATTTTATTGATTTTTTTTTTACAGAGAGGAAGGAAGAGGGATAGAGTTAGAAATATCGATGAGAGGGAAGCATCAATCAGTTGCCTCCTGCACACCCCCTACTGGGGATGTGCCCGCAACCAAGGTGCATGCCCTTGGATGGAATCGAACCCGGGACCCTTCAGTCTGCAGGCCAAGGCTCTATCCACTGAGCCAAACCAGTTAGGGCTCCGATGCCTTTTCTGAGGCAGGTTAGGAGAACCGGGAATTAAACTGGTGACACGGGCCCTTTAGCAACTGTTATCCCTGCTCCGTAAAGGATGGGATCAAGGGCTGGGGGCAACACTGGGCAGGCAGTGGTAGCCTAAAGTTCCCTGCAGCTCTACAGACTTGAGAAGAACACTGTCCCCTCTAGGCTCCGCAGCTGGCTGCTTGGACCTGTGCTCCCCGCCTGATAGAGGGCAGGACTGCTTTCTTCTTTTTTCTTAGTCTGCGCCGGCTTTCACTCTTCCTATGAATAAACATGAATGGGTTTACAGTGAGACACAATGAGGACCAACACTCTTGAACACTCCTGTAAATGCTGGTATGTTTTCCTTTTCTCAGTCATTGCTGGATCTTCCATGGTATGACTATCTTTAACTCTAACTGAAACCGTTGCTCCAATGTGGCCAGCAAGACCTATCACTTCTCGATAATTTGATGGTGCTTCTCTCCTTCATCTGTTACTACTTGTACTGTTTTCTAGCTTCTTTATCCACGGATGCATCTGATGGCAGTGCTGATTTCCTAAGCAAATCTGTCTCCTTTTCAGATTGATCGGTTGCCCTGGAGACTGCATGAATTGGACACTGAAAGAGGTTTTGCAAATTATTTCATCCTGTGAGTCTTAAACAAGATGAGCTTTGTTCCTCATTTCTTCAAACTACCAATAAATCCTTTATTACACAAACTCGCAGTGGGACATGAAAGCAATGCTTTGTACACCAGATATCTCCTGGTAATACAGCATACTAACCCCAACCTTCCTCTTTCTTACTAACGATGGCCTTCCCCAGGTACCACACATACCCAATAAAAAACAGTTATTTAAAGTGACTGCTAGGACATCCCAGGCCCCAGTGGGTTTGAGATCTCAACATCTTCCATCCACAAGAGAACGAGACTCTATCAACCATGGTTTCTGAGTGCTGCCTGGGAGTGTCCCATCTACTTTTTGTCCCCAGCCATGGCACCACAGGGAAGATGAACCTTCACCCATGGCAGCAGCTGGCTGCATCGAAAGAAAGAAAACCACACATGGACACAGATGAAGTTTTATCCCCTAATGTTTCTTTGGTCTGGGATTCCAGGATACCTGGCCATTTTCTTTCTTTTCCTTCCTTCCTTCCTTCCTTCCTTCCTTCCTTCCTTCCTTCCTTCCTTCCTTCCTTCCTTCCTTCCTTCCTTCCTTTCTTAATACATTTTATTAATGTTTTTACAGAGAGAAAGGGAGAGGGAGAGTTAGAAACATTGATGAGAGAGAAACATCATCAGCTGCCTCCTGCGGGGATGTGCCCGCAACCAAGGTACATGCCCTTGACTGGAATAGAACCCAGGATCCTTGAGTCCGCAGGCCGTTACTCTATCCACTGACCCAAACCAGTCAGGGCTACCTGGCCATTTTCTTCAGAGTATTTGCAACCATGATCATTGGCAGAGCTAGTTCTTCTCAGGTAAGGGTACATGATCATTGTCAATTTGTAGGTAGCCAGTGTCCCACCAACTTAGCATTGCTGCACTCCATCTATGTTTTACATCATTATCCCTCCATACTAGTGGCCTACCTCAGTCTATAGGAAACACACTACATCCCCATAAGGAACAGGATATACAGGGGGTGGCAAAAGTGTGACAGCTGTGAGTATGTGGAACAGAGTTTATTCTTATATAACCTATTAATTATCGCATTATTTTCCATATGAACAACTATAAACTTACTTTTGCCCCACTCTGTATATTGGGTCTAGTAATAGTTAATGTCGTTTTTAAACATTCGTTTAAAATCTTGCTTGGCGTTGACTTGTATTGACATAACCTTCAAACACGTGGTATCTACAGAACGTGTGAAGTGCAATTAACAAGTTTTGCTTGAAAAAGTTTGTGTTTGGTTTGGTTTTTGTTGCAAAACTAGGGCTAAGAAGATGGCGGATGAAGAGCATATTCGGCACTGCATGCTTTACGAGTTCCAATTAGGAAGAAAAGCAAGTGAGGCTGCAAAAAACATCTGCAGTGCTCTTGGTCAAGATGCAGTTAGCGCCAGAAAATGCCAGCGTTGGTTTGAGAAATTTCGCGAGGGAAATTTTTCGTTAGATGACAAGAGTGGTCGAGGCCGTGTGTCCAATTTTGATCAAGAAGCTCTTCAAGCTCTTTTGGTGCAAAATCCTCAAATTACCCAACAAGAGCTTGCGACAACTTTAAATTGTTCACAAAAAACAATTTCCAATCAATTGTGTGCACTTGGCAAAGTCCAAAAGTTTGGAAAATGGATTCCTCATGAGTTGACTGACAACAACCGTAATCAAAGAGTCACAATTTGCAGTTCGCTCCTCTCTCGTCAAAACCGTTTGCCGTTTTTAGAGCAAATTGTTACCGGAGATGAAAAATGGGTGCTGTATGTTAATTTGAAAAGGCAGCCTCAATGGTGGACAAAAATGAGGCTCCGCAGCCCACGCCAAAACCTGACTTGCATGCGAAAAAAGTGATGTTGTGTGTTTGGTGGAATTTTAAAGGAATTCTTCATTATGAACTTTTACCATCTAACCAAACCATTACAAGTGCAGTGTATAGTGCCCAATTGGAAAGGTTAGCCCAAGCTTTAAGAGAAAAAGAACCCGCGCTGATTAATCGGAAGGGCGTAATTCTTCACCACGATAACTGCAAGAATACTGCAAGAATCACTGCTGAAAAACTGCGCCAGTTGGAATGGGAAGTTCTCCCTCAACCTGCATATTCTCCTGATATTGCCCCTTCCGATTACCATTTGTTTCGTTCTTTGCAAAACTTTCTTCTTGGAAAAAAAATTTAATAATGAAGAATGCCTCAAAAATGCATTGACTGAATTTTTTGCATCAAAATCACAAGAATTTTACAACAGAGGGATTAAAATGCTTCCTGAGCGTTGGGCAAAAGTAGTAGAAAACAACGGCAACTATATTGTTGATTAAATTTTGTTGTATTGTTTAAATAATTCGATTTAAAAAAAAGTATTAGAAAACGACATTAATTATTACTAGACCTAATACTTTCCTCACCATGTCATCCATCCAAAAATGCTCATTTTGCTTGGTTCAAAACACCAACTTTAGGCAAAATTCATGCAAAGTTGCTAAAAATCATTGGCCCAATTTTGAGAAGAAACGACATATTTGTATACTCTAAAAGTGGCTCCCCCAAGATTTTACTTTTAATTACAGAAGGAAAAATCATCAGCTTTCAGTGGAGAAACCTATCAGATAAAACTTAAACTGTCAATGAGATATGACATCACATGCTCTTATACAACTGAAGGAAGCTCAGGAGACATAAAGGCATGTGAATCTTAGACTTGATCCTAGCACAAAGGGACTTTAGTAGAAAACTGAGATTCAGCCCTAACCGGTTTGGCTCAGTGGATAGAGCGTCAGCCTACAGACTGAAAGGTCCCAGGTTCAATTCCAGTCAAGGGCATGTATCTTGATTGTGGGCACATCCCCAGTAGGGGGTGTGCAGGAGGTAGCTGATTGACGTTTCTAACTCTATCCCTCTTCCTTCACCTCTGTACAAAAATCAATAAAATATATATTTAAAAAAAAAAGAGAGAGAGAGAACACTGAGATTCAATTAGGTCTGGAGCTTAGTTAATGGTATTGTCCCAACATTAATTTCTTGGTTTTGCTAACGGTACTAACACTTTGTGAAATGTTAACATCAGGAGAAACTAGATGATGGGTCTACTCTTAGGAACTCCTTAGTATTTTTGAAACTTTCCATAAAACTAAAAGTTATTTCAGAATAAAACGTGAAAAGAAGAATTCCTGCCCTCTCCTAATGGCTTCCACACCCGTGCTGCCTGAGCCACCACATGCCCAGGACACTGTTTACTGTGAATGCTCCTCATCACAGCCCAGCCTGTGGGTTCCCGAGGTCTCAGGGACAGGCCCTGTGGAGCTGTGGGGAAGGCTCTGGTGCAGCCACAGTACTGATTCCTGCTGTGGGTTCTCCATCCATTCCCCTTTCAGCCTCACAACTGAGCTGCATCCACATGCACAGCTGGTGCATCTGCCGGAGCCGGAGAAGGGTGGGCCCCCAACACAGCACAGTGCCCCCCACCCCCAGGCGACCCCCAGGCATCCCAGCTCAGGTTCACGCAGCACAGGGAGCCCCACAAGGCAGCTCTGGCTGCTCTGCAGACAGCACAGGGCACCTCCAGCTTTCCCAGGACGTGTCGATGTCTAGCGAACCCAGCAAGAACCCTGCCCCCCGGGTCACCACCTGGCAGGTCCCTCAAGAGCACTTCGCTCTGTCTTTCCTCTACAGACTGTCTCTGCAGGACTTCAGGAAACGCTAACAGACGTGCATCTGTCAGACTCTCACTTTCAAAGAACATCCTTGTGGTTTCCCCACAGCGTGACTCATCTGACAACACGGAAGGGAGCCCCAGAGGAGCTGTCCTCTGCCTGAGACACACTCCCAGGATCAGAGCTCTCACTTCCTGCTTCCTCCTTCCACCCTGAACCCGGGCCCCCTCCCCAGTCTGCACTGGGGTCTAGCCTGGCCCTGGTGAGGCCTCACAGAGCTAAGGAGAGAGGTGACTGAGTCGGTGCCTCCTGCTGATCCATCCCGAGGAATTCAATGTCCAGGTGGTGACTTTTAATGGAAAAGTGTCATTCCTCCTTCCCCACGGCCACAGCTGCTGGCCTCAGTGTGCTTGGCCATACTATGGTCCAAGCTGGGCTCCTTCTGGGTTATGTGCTGCCTGAGCTATAGAGCCTTTCCGTGGAAACCTACAAATTCAACCCAGGACCTGGTCCTACAGAATCAATCTCAGCCTCTCTATCACCCATCCTCCCCCCGGCCCCCCCTCTTTCTCTCTCTCTCTCTCTCTCACACACACACACACACACACACACACACACACACACACACTCTGAGCTTGTCCACACCTCTTCTGGGAATACATGCCGATCAAATCCCTCCCAGTGTACCTGCCCCATCAAACAGGGACTTCACAACAAAAAATCCCGTCTGTCTGATTAACTGGTACACTCTGCTTGGGACACCACGACACAGTTAAAATTCCACAGATACCTGAACTCAGTGATTTCTGCAGAGCAGGGCTAAAGGAAGATACACAGGGTTATAATCCCGGGTTCGCCTGGGTCTGAGACACGAGTTCAGATTTCCTCAACTCTTACCTGCGTTCACATTTATAAAAAAAGAAAGGTAACTCGTGTTTGCCGAATGTAGACACAGAAAGCTGGAATTTCTAACGCTACCAGGGTCCTTTTCCTGGCTCCTCATTCGGGTTCACGTGCTTTTGTACCATAGGAAATATTCCGAATGGGTGCCCTTTAGAACAGAGCGCCTCTACCACACCCGGGTGCCCACCCAACGCCGCTGCCACAGACGGCCCCTACGTGGCCCGAGGCCACGGACACCTGCCTTCTTGTCTCTGATCTGAAAAGAATGACGTTCACAATGAGCCTGGGTCCAAAACGCTTACCCCCTCACTAGTTCTCTAAAACAGAGGGGATTTTATTTCTCATGTGAAGGGTTAAAAGTGCTGATGCGTGATCACATCATCCAGAGAAGGATGGTAAGCTTGGCAGTCTTGAACAGCTTGCAAAAAGTGTACGTACAAGTATCTCCTTCTTAACCATCGGAGAGAGAGCGACAAGACATCCATGTGGCTAATCCCCTCCTTTTGAGGATGAAAAAACAAGAGGCCTAAGGAGTTAAATGGCTCTGATGTCTCATGGTCTAATCCCAACTCAGTATTCCTTCTACCATCTCCTCCACTCTAAATACTCCAATTCATCACAGAAACCGCATTCATTTGCTGGGTAATGTAGTTTGAGAAAGTGTACAGTACCCATAACAATGTTGGACTGAATGAGATCAAATGGAGGTTTAATGACATTACAACTCATAATGTTTCACAAAGGTAGGCTAGAGCCCAGGAAATAAAGATGCTCTTTAGTTCTCGGGACAAATCTGAGGACAACCAAGACCAAAACAAACCTGGATCCCCTAACTCCTGGCTAGTGTTCTTTTCCTATATCACAGAACCTCTTCACTTACTTTCAAACCCCTTTATGAATTTCACCAAGAAACATAAATATAAAAAAAATAGTCATTTATTTTTTCTATCCAAAAAAGGCTCCGTTTATGTTATTTGAGGATAGAATTACTTCAAATGTTTCAAATTATTACTCTAAAAAACTAAGCTTTGTCTCACATAAATGCTACTCTCCTACCGTGACAACTCACCCTGTTAACAAGTAACATTTAAAAAATATATATTTTATTGATTTTTTACAGAGAGAAATGGAGAAGGATAGAGTTAGAAACATTGATCAGCTGCCTCCTGCATACCTCCTACTGGGGATGTGCCCACAACCAAGGTACATACCCCTGACCGGAATTGAACCTGGGACTTTTCAGTCCGCAGGCCCATGCTCTATCCACTGAGCCAAATCGGTTAGGGCAGCAAGTAACATTAATAAAAAGAACTTACCAAGAACTTTCAGCTGAATCTTCTTATTGCCAACGCCAGGGGCTTTTTTTACTTTGCACTGGTATGTGCCGATGTCTGACAGCTGTAAATTGGTCACATTTATGGACGCATCCCCAGCTTTGAGGTCACTGCTTGTAAAATGTACTCGTCCTTTCAGGTCTGGATAGTAGTCATCGTAAATTTTGTCTCCAGAATATAAGATAATCTAAAAGACAACCACAATCAGACGGGATCACAACAACAAGGCAAAAGCTGTGTCATTAGAGCTCTAGAAACACCAGGCCACTGCAGGGCCCCAAAACAGTGAGACACATAGACGAGGAAGCCACAGCGATCCAAAGCACAGAAGAAGAAAACGGAGAGCGGTCAATGCGATCCTGAGTGTGGCTGCACACTCTCATTTTAACGTGAAAACGAAGACCGAGCATGAGGAACACAGCCCTGTATGAGGGCTATGTGTTAGTGAAACTGGACAAGAACACAGAATTGTGAATTTCTGTAACCATTCCTCAGCTGCCTCCAAGGCTGCAGTAGGCATGCCAATCAAGTGTATAAAATCAAGCGCACACCATCACCATTCCCCAAAAAGGGCTTGTGATGTGTCAGACCTGTGAAGTCTAACAAAAAAGCAATAACAAAGACGTTTTTGTCTTAATACTAAGTTGGAGGATTGATCTATACTAATAAAGGGGTCATATGCTAATCAGGACGTCTTCCAGACAAAGCCACAGCGGTTCTGAGGGCCTAGGGCCGGTGGCACAGGCGGGCAGCACTGGGAGGGAGAGGCATGCCAGCACCCTGGGCCAGTCCAGCGCCTTGGCCCCTTTTGCAGAGGCCCAAGGCTCAGAGAGCCACAGCGGTCAGCAGCGGCAGCAGCAATGGCAAAGATGATGGGGGCAGCGCCTTCCTCTGATTGGCCTGGTCGCCACCCCACAGAGAATGGGCCTAAGCCTTCAGTAGGACATCCCCGAGGGCTCCCGGACTGTGAGAGGGGGCAGGCCGGGCTGAGACCTCCTCTCCCGCCCCAGTTCATCAATTTTCGTGCATGGGGCCGCTAGTACTTAATAATCTAGACTCTAATAGATTAAAAGTCATAAAATAAACCTCTTAAGATGTGTTCCCAGGGTAACAGGATCTTTCAATCTTCTGTCAGGGGAGCAAAGAGCCTTTCCTAATTCCACTGAGTTTTCTGAGTTTACCTGAAATTCCTGAAGGCTAAATTCAGTGGGAAAATAACTTATCTCAGAAGAGAATTATAATAGTCACCTCTAAGTATAATTAAAATTAATTCAACACACTTTGTAATTTTTCACATGTGCCAAGAAATCCTTCATTCGGGTCATGTGAGACCCAAGGGCCAAAGAGCTGTGGTGCCAAACTCAAATAATAACCAGAAACATGACTATGGTCTATATTCTGCAAATAATTTTTTTATCTGATATGTTTATTATGTGCAAAGAGTACAATCAAAGGAATGTCCCCTGTAGGACTGTCTTGAGGGCAGAGACGTGGGTTCCTTTCTGTATTATCACCTTCCTAACTCAGTAAAGATCTCTTATTTATATATTCAGCGTCTGCTTCCAGGAAGCACTCAGTCACAGTTGACATCTGAAGGTGCACAGCTGGCTTACTCTGCAAACTTGGCCATTACTGTATTTGTTCCACCTTCTCGCCACACCCACGTGTCAATAGCATTACTAACCCCTCCAACGAGGCTGCCCTCGTGTGCTCCTTTGTATTAACCATGGACTCCCCAGAAAGCTCAACCTACAGCACTTTCAATCCCACATTTTGCTACTCACACGCTTTCGTAGTCTTTAGAAGAGGGACTGACAAATAAGATGTGTCCCCAATGGCAGCGACTTTGTAAACTATTGAGTCTTTTCCCATGGAGACAAGGTTATGAACAGCAGTTAAGAAATAGGGAACTAACTAACATTTACCAGGCCATTTTGGTTTCTCTTCACAACCCTGCAGGGTGGTGGTCTTACCCACATTTATGCTTTAGCTGCTGGAACGCTGTGACCCTCCCAGATGAGCTTTTACAAAGTCACACAGCTAAGGTGCACATCAGATCCCTTTGCGCTGGCACCGTTATTTTATTAACAGTGCAATACTAGGCCTACAGTATTTCAGAAAACTCTCATTGCAATCTTGAGAGGTAGGTATATTTGTTCCCATGTTACACCTGAGAAAGCAGAGGCTTCTGGAACATGGGAGGCAGTCTGGGATGGTGCAAAAGGGGACAAGTCAGAGACCTGGCTTCCACCCCCAGCGGCAATGTGGCCGGCCATGTGACCCGGGGAGTGTTCAGTGCAATCTCCGGGCCTCTGCTGTCTCCTCCTCATGTGTACAACAATAACCCTCATTTTAGAGTGTTGCTTTAAGGCTTAAACACATATAATTAAAGTATATGATATGCCACAGAGCACAGAGTAAGTACACAGTCCATGGCAAACTGTCTACTGCCTACAGAGATCACACAAGGAGTAGAATGGGCCGAAACCGGTTTGGCTCAGTGGTAGAGCGTCGGTCTGCAGACTGAAAGGTCCCAGGTTCGATTCCGGTCAAGGGCATGTACCTTGGTTGCGGGCACATCCCCCGTAGGGGGTGTGCAAGAGGCAGCTGGTCGATGTTTCTCTCTCATCGACGTTTCTAGCTCTTTATCTCTCTCCCTTCCTCTCTGTAAAAAAATCAATAAAATATATTAAAAAAACAAACAAAAAAACAAAAAAAACAAACAAACAAGGAGTAGAATGGAAATTCCTCCAGCCCAATTTCTGCCTGCTGATATAAATAAATGAAAGGGGGCACCGCTAACATATAATGTAGTTTCATTCTATGTAAGCATGCTCTTCAGCACCAATCTCCCCCTAACCCTTCTAGCTCTCGCTGGGCTGATGGTGCTGGGTTACACTCCGAGGCTAGTTTTTGTAAAGCACAAGGGGATGCTTAAATAGCCCTGGCTTCCTGCTATCTCCCAACTCCTGCAGGAACCAAGGCTGTGCTCCCACCCCTCCCAGAAACAGACACACAGGACTACGGACACAAACCCACTTCTTGGTCTCTAGAAGCACCTAGTTATGGCTTCCCTTACACACCTAAGCCAAAAGCACCGAGGTAAGACCCGCACTCCCCATCCATTCATCTCAGCCACGAGGGCGGAGCCCTGGGCTTGAAAGGGAGACGGGCCCTGTGCTGCCAGGGCCGTGAGGGTACGCAGCACCTCAAGCAGAAAGAAGCCTGTGTTCAATGGTGCTGACCCTCTGTGGGAAGGGGGAGGGGTGGGATGGGAAGAACAAGGCAAGGAGGGAGGACACAGGGCATCTGGGCTGAGCGGACAGAACGAGTCCATTTCAGTTTACTTTGCTGAGGGAAGGAGACAGAAGGAATTTCCGGCAGCAGAACCAGAGCAGAGGTGTGTCCTTGGAGGGAGTGGCCCTAGTCATTCTCAACTTGGGAAAGTACCTTAATTACTTCCTTCGCAAATACATCACGGGCAAATTGCCTGGATTTGCTGGAAAGAGTAATTACCTTGCTGCCCTGATTCAGCCATTAAGGGGCTGAATAACCCACCCCTTCTTTTACATGGGTCATAAGTGAAAATAAAATTTCTCTTCTGAATATGTACATAGTTGACCCTCAAACAATGCAGGGCTTAGGAATACCTGTACTCACACAACCCTGAGAAGAAAATTTGCAAATAACTTTCCTTTTTTTAATCCTCACTTGAGAATATGTTTTTATTTATTTTAAAAGAGAGAGAGGAAGGGGGAGAGAGAAACATCAATCGGTTGCTTCCCTTTATGCATCCCAACCGGGAATTGAACCTGCAACCCTTTGGTGTACGAGACAATGCTCCAAACAAATGAGCCACCCAGCCAGGGTGCATATACAACTTTTGACTGCCCCAAAAGTTAACTGCTAATAGTCTCCCATTGACTGAAAGCCTTCCCAAGAACATAACTAGTCAATCAGGACGTATTTTATATGTTATATACATTCAATACTGTATTTTCACACACAAAAAAGTAAACTAGAGAAAAGAAAATGTTATTAAGAAATTCATAAAGAAGAGAAAATACATTTAGAGCATTTATTAAAATAATCTATGTATAATGGAACTGCACCGTTCAAACTTGTGTTGTTCAAGGGTTAAATGTATTACCATCTTCCTCCAAATATATGGACTTATTTCCCTCTCCCTGGTCTAATATAACTTTTTATCATTGACTTTATTTTTTATTACATGTGTCAGATGAAGCTAATATGCAATATTCTAAATTAAGTGAAACTTTGGTACCATTAAGAGGTACCAAAATATTTAGAGATGAGATTATAACAATATTTTGATATTTAATTTTTCAAGTTTAATGTTGCTGTTTTGCTAGGAAGATTTGCTTTGCTTTTAAAGAAATTCATCATATAGGATATTAACCTTGGAGAAATATGGAGAACAGCCCTGGCCAGTTTGGCTCGTTGTTGGAGCATTGGCTCACAGACTAAAGGGTCTCAGGGTCAATTCCCAATCAAGGGCACATGAGCTCAACCCTGGCCTGGGTTGGGGCATCTGTGGGAGGTATTAATAGATGTTTCTCTCACATAAATGTTTCTCTCTCTCTCTCTCTCTCTCTCTCTCTCTCTCTCATCTGTGGGAGGTATTAATAGATGGTTCTCTCACATGAATGTTTCTTTCTCTTTCTCTCTCTTCTCCCCACCACCACACACACACATACTCTCTAAAAACTAATGGAAAAAAATCCTCCGGTGAGGACTTAAAAATAAAGAAATATGGAGAACAGATTCTGTAATAACATGTAATTGTGTTATACCCTGCTACACTTGACCCTTATACTGGTATCAGAACTCCTGTGTTAAAGTTAGGAACTCAATCCTATCAACTTTTCACAAAGTCTGACTCGCTTGGCGACCCTTAACACACCCTATGCACATTTCTGCCGCGCTGCCATGTCTGCTCCATTACTTCCTGACTCATCCACACTTTACACCAGACTTTCAGAGGTTCCCGTGCCCCCTAAGCTATGTGGTCAGCGCAGTGATGGGCACCGAAGACAAATTCCACGTACAGCTGCTGAGCGAGCGAGCGAGCGCTCGGCAAACTTACCACTTGGTCCACCTTCTGATTGTCGGCGGGGGACAGCAGCCACTCGATGTCCAGCGGCCCCTGGTCTTCCGGACCTTGCGTAAACTTGCAGGGCAGGTAGGCAGTTTCCCCTTTGGCCTTTTCAATCATGTGGTCAGGACTGGTGATACTCAAACTTCTGGTGACATCTGGAGAAGGAAACACACATGCGGACTAAACATCTGAACCCTCGGACCACCCAGCCGTTCAGAAGGGACACAGGATGCTGTGAGAACAAGATTTGAGTTCAAACTCCGAGGTGCCCGGTTTTCAGTTGGTGCTTTTGTAAAATTAGAATGACAACGTAAGGTTGTATTCAATATAATCATCTCCTTTAAGGGCTCGGTGAACTTCCCAACTGTATAGAGGGCGTTCACAGCCAAGCAGATGTTTAAAACTGAATTTAGCTGCAATCTCTGCAAGGCCAGTTGTGCCATGCCAATTCAAGGTCACGTTAGCCATGCTCGGCTTGGTGCCACCAACACAATGGGAATTCCCTATTGCTGGGACGCATGCTGATGAATTCTGACACCTTTCCTTCTTCTTTAATTCTAAGTTTTTTGTCTTGTTTTGTTTTTTAGTTTTTTGATTCCATAACTTTTATTGAATGCTTGAAAATATTTCTAAGCTAAGTGGGTAGAGCCCAAGAGTTCTCATTACAAGGAAAAAAACATATTTTTTCTCTTTCTTTCTTTCTTTCTTTCTTTCTTTCTTTCTTTCTTTCTTTCTTTCTTTCTTTTTTTTTTTTTTGTGTGTGTGTGTGTGTGTATATCTCTCTATGAGCAGATGGATCTTGACTAAATTTACTGTAGTAATTATTTCACTCTACATGTAAGTCAAATCATACTGTACATCTTAAACTTATGCCGTGCAGTATGTCAATGATATCTCAACAAAACAGGAAAAGAAGCTGCCAATATAAGATGCCCTGTGCCCCAAACAAATGTCTAAGAGATTATGCTGATTGAGTTTGTAAAAAAGAGATGGCTTAGCCCCACTGACACACTGTAATTACAAAAAAAAAGTATCCTTCTTCTTGAGTTGGGGGTGTGAACACAATATACAGCTGATGTATTTCAGAATTGTATCCCTGAAATCTATAATTTTATTAGCCAATGTCACCCCAATAAATTCAATAAAAATAAAGATAAAGTATCCTTCTTGCTGCTAATGGTTTACAACAATCTTTTACATGCATAAAAGGTAGAAATAACCTCTGAGCAAAATGGCACCACTTCTTAATCTACATAAGGGTAAAAATATCAAGCTCAATCAATTCACGTCCTTTTTTTTTTAAAAAAAAAAGCAATTTTGTTCATATCAGTTTCACACACAAAAATAGGTCTGTTCACTACTCATGTCTTATGAAAGATCAGAGTTTGAACAACCTAGCAATTCACACAAAACTTAACTTTTTATTATTTACACTGTAAAGGATTGCATAGCACTAGTTTGTCAATCTATATTTCCCTGATGAGGACATTTCCTCACACATAAATTTAAACATCTAATGTATGCAGAACCAAAGTTTCAACTGAGCAGCAGATTTCAGCAGCTCTCCCATTCTGGTGTCTCTATCACCCACACTAACTTCCGTGGCAGGATTATGACCCGGAAGAGGCCCGAGGCACTAAAATCATGCATGGTCCATGGGTCCTGGCTTCCTCCCCTTCTCTTCCCTCGATCCCCCCATAAAAATACACATATGAGCGAAAAATTAGAGTAAACCCAAGTCCTAATTGTCCATAATGAGGACAAACCAAAAATGAGGAATTAGCCATCCCGTGGTCCTTTCCAGTAGCACATTGGCCATCACTTGTAATAAGATGCTAACAAAGTTGAAGCTTAAAGATTGAGAATGAAAGAAAAGCCAGATTACATTTAAGTACTTAGGAGCCATCGTAAGCGTTTTATCACATTTAAGTGCCCTCCTTAAACAGCAGACTAAAACGGCACAGACTCTCCGCTCCCTTAAATCAGAGGCTGGCCTCACGCTGGCCAGTAGAAAACGCGGAAGTGTGGCTACTCTGAAGGGAGGCCTCAAAAGGCCTTGCTGCTCCCGTTCTCGCCCTCCCAAACCCCTGCCACCTGCCAGCCAGTGAACAAATCACACAGAAGAGAACTGAGGTGTCTGATCAATAGCTGCAGCTGCCCACCATGCAGCCCCCCTAGAATACTGGGCAGCAGTCCAGACCAGCTGCCGGCAGCCGCAGTGAGCCCCGAGCTTCCCCTCCGAGCCTAGCCTAAACTGGCAACCCATAGGATGAGAAACAAAGACATGTTATTGTTTTTAAGGCTCTAGAGTTTAGACAAAGATTGATGATGATACATCATTCAAATCCACTAATTCGGCCCAAATAGACTACTACTTAATATTGCCTCCAAGAAGTCCATACTAGTCCAATCTGCATTTCATATCTAACATTCCTATTTAAAACTATGTGATTTGAAATTTATGTGTGTGATCTCAAGGGTCTCTCAAGAATCAATCCCCAAATACACACTTTCTATCATCTGTATATATAAAAGCCTAAACGACCATTACGACTGAACAACTCGAACAACCAGTTGACCAGTCACTATGGTGTGCACTAACCACCAACGGGTAGATGCTCAACACAGGAGCTGCCCCCTGGTGGTCAGTGCACTCTCACATCCCACAGGGTGAGTGCCACTAAGCCAGAAGCTGGGCTCGTGGCTCACGGCTCATGGCTGGTAAGCTGGTGAGTGCTGCTGCAACAGCAGGAGCCTCTCCAGGGTGAGTGTAAGCAGTGCGGTGCTGGCTCATGCTCCTCACTGGCCACACTGCTACATCCCCCAAGGGGTCCTGGATTGTGAGAGGGATTGTGAGAGGGTGCAGGCCAGGGTGAGGCCACCCTCCCCGCCACCCCATGCATGAGTCCATGCACTGGGCCTCTAGTTTCTAATAAACCCTGTTCCATTGCTACCTCATTCACCAACGTAACACTCTACCTCTTAGCCTAGAATGATTTTTTCTGTTTCTCTACAGGCGCTCACAGTACTTTACTTTCTGCTACCGTATCACCCTTTTGGCCTTAGCATAGGGTATCCTGGAGATTTTTCCCTGGTAAACTTCATTGTGAAGTGGACTAAAGTAGGCTCCATGGTTTTGCCACATCTTCTAGATGAGCTTATGTTCTGCCCATACTTTCTAGTGCTTTTAACTGATTCTTTACAATACTGACTTACCATGAAATCATTAGTTCCATTAGGGTTGGGAGAAATTATGGACCCCTCTATGTCTCCTTGTAGTTCCTTGTACATTAGTACAAAAGAATTGGGGACTAGGTTATACATTTGATCAATTTTAGAAAAGCTGAAAGAGCATGAATCTGCCAGTTGAAGATGAATTCTGCTTCTTTTGCCACTACAATTTGTTGCCTGTAGTTATCTTGGTAATAACACTTTTAAGTGTTGAGTAAGAGAAAGACAATCTGAGCACAGCCCAGAATGAAACTTCCATTCCAAAACGAATCAAGACACAGCGCCAAAATACAGAGGTAAGGCTATGAGAGTGAAAATTTGCTAATAACAACAACAACCAAGAAAACTTCCTGATCACTCAATGCTTTTAGGGTTTTTATTTTATTAAAGTAAAATTAAAAAGTCAAAGGACATCAGTCATATAAATTTTTCTAAGTTCAAATTAGAATAAAATACAACTTAAGTTTTTGTAACAGTGCCTTTTATTCTTATTTGACACATAAAAAACACTTTTATCTTTTCAGAAAACCTTATAAAACAGTTAATGAGAGGAAGCACTGGGAGAAGCGGGAAGTCCCCACCTGCGGAGCACGGAGCAAGCACGTGTGTTTGTGGATGCCTTCCCATCGGAATGCCCCACTTTCTCCCACCGAGAGCACCTCCAGCCACTTAACCGCCACCTTTCACCTCCTAAGGCTCTCCCCATCCCACAGGCAGGAAGTAAACCACTTCCTCCTATTACACAACACAGGTAGTTGTTTACATGCCCTGACCTTACTAGTAAGCAAACAGGTTCGCTCACTGAACAAATTTTCTCTGGAGGGTATATCCCCAGGCCTTATTTAGCAAGCCCTTTGGACTTGTGGTTTCAGAAGAGGAGCTCAGGGCAGAGGGAAGGAGAAGGAGGAGTGATGATGGTAGAGAGGAACACCAGACCTTGTGGGGAAAGCAGGAAGGCCATGGAATACCTGTATCCAGGGAAGCAAAGGGGTGGAGCCATGGAGCCCAGACAGGAGGCAGAGCTCAGAGGGAGCTGAGCAAGCTGGTCCCATGCTGATGGGAACAGTCCATTGCTTTTTACTTACTGTCCATAGTACAACAAATGTTAGCACGTCTGGGTTAAAAAAAACAAACACGATTAGCCCTAGCTAGTTTAGCTCAGTGGATAGAGCAGTGGCCCATGAACTGATGGGTCTCTTGTTCGATTCTGATCAAGGGCACTTTCTCTCATATCGATGTTTCTGACTTTGCTGCTCTGTACCACTCTATCTAAAAATTAATGAAAAAAATATCCTCAGGTAAGCATTAACTAAAAATAAAAAGCTAGTATGATTTCAGCTTTAAATGTACAATTATATACAATTATGAGGGAAATACAACTTTAAGAAAACCTGTTAGTTGTGTCTATTCTAAAATCACAGCTATGGAAGAAGAAAAGCTGCCTGGCTATCTCTGAGCTATCTCTAGAACAACATCAAGCAGAAAACGATTACCACTGATAAGATTTCTCAGAATTTCTGGAGTCATTCCAAAGATAGTAACAAAAAAAGGAAAATTAGAAATGAAAGTAAAAATTGAAGGTTAATTCTTAAAGTCCTGTATAGTTCTTTAGTTTCTTGGGAAGGGGTATATTATGACGAGGGGTATATTAATATCAGCTGTGATGAAGAATCCATTTGACATTGAGATTTTTTGAGAAATGTCAAAGAATGCTATAATGGTTTACAATTTTAAACAGACAGGACCAATCATCAGAAACCAGGACTCACAAAGGACACACCTGAAAAGCTGATAGATAATCTATTGGGATCCTCCTCCGGGGCTTCCCGAATATTTCCACCCTTAAAAGCCCTTAGGCCAGAGGACCCTGTGCTGTTCCTCCCAGGAGCACTCTTGGTCCTTCCCTTCCCCTCATCTGCTTCCC